GGATATTGTCTTCCACCCTGCCTTTTAGGGATCACATCAGATGAATCAGATACTGAATTCCAAGAAGGGGCCAACCTCGTGTCTCCTGCGCCCAACAGCGAGGAGACTAACCATTGTACCACAGCCGCCAGATTGATGGTGAACAGGCCAGAGAGCAATATCAACACCTTCTGCTGCCTTCTTCTTAACTTTTTCTGTAGTTGTACGTTGCTTCTCAATATTTAAAAAAACCCACCGTCTCTTGCGATTCTGCCAACCTGCCATGCAGTGCGAGTTGAACCGCCCTTTCAGAACTGTATGGTCGTTTAAGAGGAGGATTTCTGATTTAAAAGAAACGTCTGTTCGATACGATTGAGCCAGGAAGGCACAGAGCTATATCCCCCCCCTACACACACACACACACACACACACACACACACACACACACACACACAACACACACACACAAGCAAGCAAAAACAACAACAAAATATACACAAAAAACAACAACAAACACACACAACTGCAGTTCAAAAACATCTTGCCAAAGGTTCGAACCAGGGTCGTTGCGTCGTCCATGTTATCATCCCAGCTAAAGGAGAGTTCAGTAAATATTGAAAATTCAAGCGTGCCCCAGGAAGTTAATGAAAATTACCAGAGCACTTCCCTATTTTATACTTCCTGCTTCAGCCTACTTGAACTTGACACATGAGCGCAGGCAAAAACTACTGCAGAAAGCGTCGTGAAGGTCATTTTACCCATACCAGTAAATGCACGGAAAAGTTTATGGTTAGAGAACCACAGGAGCCTAAAAAATCAGGAGCACCTTTTGAGTAAATCTTTCAGTCTCGAGAATATTGATCAGATATCTAGAAGCCCTGAACGAGAGTGCTTTCAGATGGAGCTTTTGCATACTTTTGATAGAATGGGCGTTGTTCGTTTGTTTGTTTGGGTTTTTAGGGGGCTGTTTTGTTTTTGTTTTGTTTTGTTTATTGTTGTTTTTTGTGCTTTCTTGCTTTATTTCTTTGTTTGTTTGTTCTTTTGAGAAACGAGAAGCACACTAGCATGATTACAACAATTCAGTAGCAAAGCAGGATAGACAAACTGAGACAGCAGAGGGAAAGAAAAGAAGTAGGACCTACAAATAGTCCCCCCCCCCCCCCCGCCTGCACAATGGAATAATATTATGTGTATTATATTTCCTATTCAGTTTCCAGGGACGATGTTCTGTCACTGTTCGAATCTTTTACCCTTTTCTACTCGACCTAACTCTAGTTTTATTAATAGTTTTACGGAACTTGCAACACACAATTAGGTCATAGAAGAAGAAGAAGAAGAAGAAGAAGAAGAAGAAGAAGAAGAAGAAGAAGAAG